CGTTACAGAAAGTTTTACTTGTCGTATTCGAGGGAAGCTGCTGATTTCTGACTTGTAGTTGAGGAAATGCTTAACCCTACGTAACCCTTGAGCCCCTTTTTTCTTTCAGAACCTGTAGTTTGGAGACCTGAGTCGTTTCCTCTTCTCCCCCCCCCCCAAAAAGGAGCCCTGACTCGTGAACCCTAAAATATACGCTAAATGGCCAAACTCTGTAACTAATCGCAGATCAGTAACAGAGTTTGGGGACGGCTTAGGGTATTAGTTACAGAGCTTGGTGATTTAGGAGTCCTGACTTAGGGTATTTGTTTGGGGGCGACTTAGGGTTTTCTCTATGGTTTAGGAGTCAGGACTCCTGAAAGGGCAACAACAAAAAAAAAGGAGCTAAATGGCTAAACTCGAACCTCACAAAAAAACTTCAATTGCAGCCTGGCGCCCGAATGCTGAGCCCTCCGTCCCCTTAAACCCTAACCCTAAACCCCAATTTGGAAAATCGAAAATGTTACACTTTCCTGATGCGCGGCGAGAACAACTCGGATGCTTTCAAACTGAGCCTTGATCTCGTTCCCTTTCTTTTTTACTTCCGGGTTCGTGAAAGTGAGAGAAAGGAGTCCGATTTCTTTCCCCAAGGCAAATCAAAATTAAGGGGGAAACATTTTTTATTTAAAAAAAACGAAGAACTCGAAAGCCCCTGACTTTATTTGCGCGTGGGTAGGGGAAAATTGTTTATAGACACCCGATCCGGTGTTTCATAATGCCTGAGATACACCCGGGCTGTCTGCATCTGGACGGTGCTAGCAGCCACGAGCACTCGTGAGCACAGCTGTATTTCAACGCCTGGGTTTGAGGCATATTGCCACCATAAGGGGATTGTTTGAACTCAGTTCAAATCTGCACAGTCAAAGCTAGGGTCGTAACTTTTGGTCAAAGTCAAGATTTATGGGTCAAAATGGTCTGAGAAAAGTCCGCAGGTTAAGGGGAATAAGGCCCTAAGTCAGTTAAAGTCAAGATTCAGGGGTCAAAAGTTGCATCCCCAGTCCCAGAATGGTCTGGGAAAAGTCCTAAGGTCAAGGGGTATAAGGCCCTAAGTCAAAAGAAGTGACCTTAACCCCTACGTGACATAGTTGACTCTTGGAAATTCAAGAGTCCATCCCAACCTTGGAAAAGCAGACCAAATGTCAAAGCCTTCCCAAAAGTCCACCACGGCCATTGATCAGATGCACAACCAAAGGCTGTCTGCAGGTCTTCCAGAAGATTCCACTACCAACTGGGACAAGGCCCATTTGGATCAGCAGTGCATCCAGGCCGTTGAAGTCTGAAAATCTGGGCCATCGAAGGACTCAAGAGGAGGCAGGTCAATGCGGGTCAAGGCCACCAAAGGACAGCCAGGCACTGGGGGGATCTTTCCGCCTGGCATGTTCCAGCGGCCAAACTGCTGCTCGTGCGGTAGAAGGAAGTGAGGCTGGTGCCAAACAGAGGGAGTGAGCACCAGCCAGGGAGGAGGTGTGGTGGAGCAGGCCATAGGCAGGGAGAAGGTGCTGCCGCCTAGCTGTTAGGAGGAGACGGTGCAGGGAAGAGTGTGATCAGGAGTGTGAGAGTGTGCGTTTGTGAGGAGAGAGAGCACGTGGGAAGAGTACCTGAACTTATCTGGGCGCTGGTGATATTGAAGCTGCTGCTGCTGGTCATCAAGAAGCTGAGGAAGGTCAGTGCCAACCTCCATAGCCAAGGAGTGTTGCTGGAGGCTGGGCGCCATCAGTGATTTCTTTGGAGGGACATGCATTCCTGAGGTGGTGAGTACGGGGAGCATATCCTGAAGGAGAAGAGGGAGTGGGGACATACTTGTATCATTGAATATTAACAAGATAACCCGCCACGGCTTCGCCCGCGGCAAGAAGAGGACAGATTGTGAGAATATAGGAGAAGGGATTCGACAAAAGATGTAGACATGCAACATTTCATGTGGACATTGGAAAAAAAAAACAATTCAGAAAGGAAAAAAAAGGAAAAAAATAAGCGGTATCAGTTTATCGTGCGCGTCTTGAAACACGGACCTGACATGTGATACCCATTTTTTTGCACTATACCAATACTTCGCATTCGAAGAGGAGTGTCCGCTGCAGTTGTAGAGGTGTGGTTTGTCTGTTGTCGGCGAGCTTCATCCGGAGCGGCCAGAGGAGTCATTCCCACCCCGATCTTCGGACCTCGGAACTCGGAGGGGGATCGAGATGGAGGCAATGGCAGCGAGGAGGTTGTATCAACCAATCAATCAATCAATCAATTAAAAAAACAACAACGAAAAAAGCCAATTTCAAACCCCGTGCCATTGAAACGGCACCCCCCTCCCCTGTAGCGGACCCACCAGGTGTGGTGCTCCGCTAGTGACAGAGATGGAGATGGAGGAAGAAGGGGGGGAGCGAGATGGCACAACTCAGCTCCCCACGCAAGACTCCAACGCACGTACTCCAAAATGTGCAAGTGAAGAATGAGACTGAAAACAGACAATGGCTGGGGCATACCCCAACGGATTGATGGGATTGAACTGGACTGGCTGGTACCGACAGAGGTACCGGCCTGGACTGGCCTACCCCTAATGCAACACAGGCCTGTGAGAATAGGCCAAGGGGCTGGTCTCACAGGCCAACCCGAGGTCCGCTACACGATCCTCGGCCTGTGATGGATCGCCTAGATACAAACATGCTTCCACSAAGAAGCGGAACTCTACCAAAGAAAAGAAAACCTGAGTAGTCTAGGATGTGGAGCAAGCTCCATGCTGAGTCCATGCGATGCAACCTAGGATATAAAATGTCACAAAACAACAATGTCACAGCTAACAGCCTAAGTGAAAGTAGAAGCAACTAACTAACATACATGTCCTAGGAAAGCAAAAGCAACTAACTAGCATACATGTCCTAGGAAAGCAGAAAGTAGTGACAACTAGATCCTAGAATGTTGGAGGCACTAGCCTCAGTCTGGTAACAACTGACTAGTGTATAAGTCCTAAGAACAACAAAAGCAGAACAACTAAATCCTAGAAATGTCGAAGGCAGTAGCCTCAGTCTGAGAGCATCAAAGCAATCAACAAGACAACCATATGTCACATGAGAAGTGTGTCGCAAACCAAAGGGTGGGATGGTCTCTGAGGGTGGCAAATGCAGCCTAGGGGTCGAAACTCCTAAGGGCATCCACACATAGATAACAGGGAGACACATGTCATCAGGCTCAATGAGGGTAGGGAACTGAGAGCGAACAAAACCAATGACCCTAACAGATACACCATCAGGGCGGGTAATGCTCGACTAAGGGGTGACCGCTATGGAGGGTCGACCATGGGAATAAGGGAGCCTGGTATACTGGGCGCACCTAGATGAAGCATGCGGGGCTACCTAACTAGGGCTTGAGGGTCGGCGAAGGGTAGAAAGATGATGGGTAAGGGAATTATGCTAATGATTCCTAAAGTGAGGGAAGTCGGAGCTAGATTCGTAAGATGGGAAGCCAGGGCAATGCTACGGCCCCGATGCCTATGCGTATACCAAGGGAGAGGCCAACTCAGAGGAACCCGGCTATAAAGGGAGACCATCATGCGACACAAGCAGGGTACTGTACAGGGTAGAGTGGTAAGAGAGTGGCGACGTCTGAAGTAGGCAGAGCTGATCGTGATGAAGTCCATGAAGGTGCCGATGACGTCCACGATGAGAAGTCCGGAATGCCGTCGAGGAAGAGCCGCAACGTCGACGAGCCGAAGTAGCAAAACTGGAGTGGATGGAGTACTGAGAAGTCAAGGACGTGGGAAGGTAAGTCAGAGTCAATCGTCGTATCGAGCAGGACGACGACGAGTGCGCTGTGGATGCTCAAAAGCATCCGGCTGCTGCTGAAGGTCTGCCTCAGATGGAGCAGGCTCGACTTCNTATACTGGGCGCACCTAGATGAAGCATGCGGGGCTGCCTAACTAGGGCGTGAGGGCCTGCGAAGGGTAGAAAGATGATGGGTGAGGGAATCATGCAAATGACTCCTAAAGTGAGGGAAGTCGGAGCTAGATCCGTAAGATGGGAAGCCAGGGCAACGCTACGGTCTCGATGCCTATGCGTATACCAAGGGAGAGCCCAACTAAGAGGAACCCGGCTAAAGGGAGACCATCATGCGACACGAGCAGGGTACTGTACAGGGTAGAGTGGTAAGAGAGTGGCGACGTCTGAAGTAGGTAGAGCTGATGGTGATGAAGTCCATGAAGCTGCCGATGACGTCCACGATTAGAAGTCCGAAATACCGTCGAGGAAGAGCCGCAACGTCGACGAGCCGAAGTAGCAAAACTGGAGTGGATGGAGTACTGAGAAGTCAAGGACATGGGAAGGTAAGTCAGAGTCAATCATCGTATCGAGCAGGACGACGACGAGTGCGCTGTGGATGCTCAAAAGCATCCGGCTGCTGCTGAAGGTCTGCCTCAGATGGAGCAGGCTCGACTTCAACGGTCTCCTCAGCCGGGGGAGAAGGAGGAGGGTCAGTGGGCTGAGGAGGAGCAGTGAACCCATCACTACGAGCACGGTCATAGGCACGCACCAACATGCGAGCGTGCTGCAAGTGCTCGAGGGGCTCCCAGGTAGCCTCCTCATCAGGGTAACCCTTCCAACGCACGAGATACTCGACGTGGGGAGGGTTGTCGTCGGTGACTCGGCGACCAATGATGTCTGAAACGAGGAACTCCTCGTGGCCGTCCACCATGAAGGGTGGAGGGCGCTCGTATGGTTGTCCAGTGAAACGCTCAGACGGTCTGCGGTAAGGACGCAGTAACGAGACGTGGTAGACATCATGCACACGAGCCTGGCGTAGGTAGTCGGGGAGCTTCACACGAAAGCTGACCGGGCTAGATGCTGTATCAGAACCGATGCCCTGGAGGATGCGGCATGGGCCAAAAAAGCGACGCTGAAACTTGTGAAGCGTGTCCGCTTCGAGCTGTAAGTGGCGGGTATGGATAAGCACATCATCACCGACTTTGAATGAATGGTCCATCCTCGATCGGTTCGCACGTGCTGCCATGCAAGTCTGGGAAGCGGCTATGCGTTCATGTGCGGTCTTCATGATCGACGTCATGTGTGCAACCCAATCATCCAACGAGGGACAACCAGTGTCGGGGTGCATCTGTGACGGTCAAAGATAGTCCGCGGGAACACGAGGGTGGTAGTTGAGGCCGCAATAGTAAGGCGACATCCCCATGGCTGGCGAGACGGCGTGGTTGTAGGCTATCTCCGCGTGGGCAAGATGAAGATCCCACTGCTGGTCGTCACGAACAATCTTTCGAAGAATATCTTCGAGAGTCCTGTTCGTGATCTCGGTCTGACCATCAATCTGAGGATGGTAAGGCGAGGAGAAGCGGAGCTGAGTGCCATATACCTCGTGGAGCCGTCGCCAGAATCGGTTGGTAAAGCGCGGGTCACGGTCAGATATGATGCTCAGAGGTAAGCCGTGGTCACGCACGACTCGGTCAAACACGATGTTGGCGACCTCACGTGCACTGATGGCATAGCGGCACGGAACAAAGCGTGCACGCTTCGTGAAGCGGTCGACGACGACCAGGATAGCATCATGACCGCGAGGGGTCGAAGGACGAAGAGGACTGATAAAGTCCATCGAGATGGACTGCCAACGACCCTCAGGGATAGGAAGAGGCTGGAGCAAACCATAAGGCAGGCGGTTCGCACTGTTCACCTCCTGACAGGTGGGACACTTTGCGACGTAGTCCTTCACAAAGTCCTTGCGCTTCGGCCAGACGTACAGGCGGCTCACACGAGCCAACGTCTTGTGGAAGCCCATATGACCGGCAACTGCCTGGTCATGGAACTCGGCTACTGCTCGGACACGTAGCTGTCCAATGGAGGGAACGCAAATATGGGGCTCTCTGGTGCCCTGTGAACCGTGCCAGTACACGAGACTGTTGTCCCCGAGAGAGTAGTTCGGGACGGTTTTGCCACTCCGAAGGGTCGCGTGGATGTCGYGATAGTCGGGGCAGTGGCGGTACTGAGTGCGAAACTCGTCGATCACCGAGTGGTGGACGGTGGTGACCGAGATTGAAGAGAGCTGGATCTGCTCCTGGTCGTGGTCAGGGCGCCGGGATAGGGCATCTGCGACCCGATTAGTCTCACCCTTGATGTACTCAGCGGTGAAACTAAACTCGGAGAGGTCGCGCCACCAGCGAGCCTGTCGAGGAGTGAGCTTTGGCTTAGTCAGAAAAGCCTGGACAACAGAGTTGTCCGTGCACACCGTGAATGGTGCCCCGTGCAGGTAGTGCCGCCAGTGCCAAGCGACATAAACTACTGCGAGAACCTCACGTTTATCAGCAATGTAGTTTATCTCGGCGGGCAGGAGCTGACGGGAGTAGAAGGTTATCGGACAATCACCTGAGCGAGACTCGACAGTGCCGTCCTCGACGATGGTAGGAGAATAGTCAATAGAGAGCTCGTCAGTAGCTGGACGAGTAGGCGTCAGTCGGGAAGCAGTGGTAGGGGTAGGTGGTGGGAAGCGAGGGATACGAGGATGAGAGGAATCAGGAGAGGAGGGGAAGACCAGAGAAAGCACTGCTCGTACAGCAAAGTCTGACGCATCGGTGGTAAGGATAAAAGGGCGACTAAAATCGGGTAGGTGAAGAACCGGTGCGCATGTCACCGCCTTCTTGAGGGCGCGGAAGGCGTCCTCATGGACGGGTGTCCAAGCCCAAGGTGGGTTCTTCCGGAGGAGGGTGGAGGTAAGGACGTAAGAATACCTAGCGTATCCCTGGATGAAGTTACTATAGTAGCTGGTCAGGCCTAGGAAGCTGCAAAGCTGCTTGGCGGATGTGGAGGCGGGCCACTCCGCAATAGCAGTGATCTTCGCGTCGTCCATGTGGAGACCCTGGTCAGACACGTAGTGTCCTAAGAAATCAACTTTGTGCTGGGCAAAGCGGCGCTTGCTCAGCTTGGCGTAGAAGCCATGTCTGCGCAAGCGGTCAAGGACGTCGCGGAGGTGTCTGAGGTGCTCCTCAAGGGTACGACTGTAGACCAGGATATCGTCGAGGTAGACGAGAACGTACTGTTCCAGGATGTCCCTGAAGATGTCGTTCATCGCCCTCTTAAAGGTAGCGGGTGCATTGGTGAGGCCGAATGACATCACTGTAAACTCGTAGTGGCCGAAGCGCGATCGGAACGCTGTCTTCGGCTGGTCGGCTGCAGCGACGCGGATATGATGGTAACCGCTACGAAGATCAATTTTCGTAAAGAAGCGGTTGCCTGCTAGGAGGTCGAACAACTCATCGGAACGAGGCATGGGGTAGCTGTTCTTAACCGTGTAGCGGTTGAGACCGCGATAGTCGATGCACAAACGGAGAGTTGCGTCCGCTTTGCGAGCAAAGAGGACGGGTGCACCCCACGGGGAGTTGCTGGGTTTAATGAAACCCAGCCCCAGGAGCTCCTCAAGCTGACGCTTGAGTTCGGTGGCCTCGGGGATAGAGGGAGATGGTGTGGGCACTGAAGGCTCCGGGGGAGGAGGATCGGGGCGTGGTGTCGCTGTGGTACCTATGAGAGGTACGCGATACGTCTGTCCACACTTCGTTTTGAGAATGAGAGTGTTGGTCGCCCAATCGGCCTCGGTGCTGCGGAACCGACGAGACAACAGAGTGCCGAGAATGAAGTCGTACCCCGTCTCTATCACATTGAAATGTGCAAAGGAGCGGTGGCGACGAGGCGCCGGGGAACGATCAGTCGGCTCGAGAGTGAGGAAGAAGGGGAGGTTGGTGACCGTCTGATCGAAGAAGCGATGGGTCTTGTCATCCCCTTGGGTAACGGAGATGGGAGTCGGAGACCCTGTCGTGGGTAAGCGGGCTTCCTTCACCAGGCGTGGGTGAATGAAGTTGCCCTGAGAACCGGAATCCCACAGCGCTGAGTACACCCTCGTGGAGGTCCCGAGTTGTACGGGGATGATCGGGGGGGTGCGATCAGGGTCAGAGAGGATGGCGAGAAGGCGACGCAGTGCAGCGACATGGAGGGTGAGTCGCTCCTGACGAGCCTAGAGCATGCTCAAGTCCAGAAGAGAGGACACAACGTCCTCGCGAGTAGCAAGCTGCTCGCTGCAACGGGCTGAGCGAATGGCTCGACGYGTCGGTAGTCGCGGCGRGGRAGGAGGGGAGACGGTGGTCTGCGGAGGCGCAGACGGTACTGCGACAGACGGCTGCGTACACTCTGTCGAGTCCTGCGATACCTCAACTCTAGTAGCGAGAGGGGCGAATCGCGATGGAGATGTCGAGAAGCCCACTACTGAGGAGGGTGCAGGTGTACACTGCACCGTGGCTAGGAGGTGCCGCGGGGACGTGAGGTGCCGGGGGGGGACTTAGCACGACGCTGACGAGAAAGGTCAGCGTAGTGGCGGTGGAGGGCGGTAGTGTAAAGGCACCGCGAGGAGGTATGACCATCCAAGCTGCAGCGCAAACACCCACGCCGGCCTATAATAGCCGCGCGCTCCTCAGGGGAAAGGACACCACGAGGAGGGACGAAGCCCTGAGGGAGGTCCTCCTGAGGGACCTCGGGGGGCGACGTGCCAGCGTGACCAGGGCGGCTGCGTGCCCGAGAGAGGGCGGAGAGTGAGAGCTGAAGGCACTCAGCTGTAGGGAGGGTAGAGTCCTCCAAGTGATAGTGGACGACCTCGCAGAGATCGAGGTCGTCGCTGTGGTCGCCCTCAGGTGACAGTGGGGCAACAGCGTCCTGCTCACCATACTCCAGCGCGTTGAAGCGGCGCGAAAAGTGGCGGCCCTGCTACGTGGAACGGCGGGGGCGACCGCGGAAGGGGAACGGCGCTGGGAAGTGCCGTGAGAGGAGGAGGAGGCGTAGCCCGTGCGCTGGGGCTGGGAGGAGGAGGCGGGGTGAAGACGGGCTCGCATCCAGGCGGCCTCGTAAGCCTGTGGGGCCGATGTGAACTCCTACCGTCATAGCTCGGAGCGGTACTCGAGCGGAAGGCTGGCCAGGAAACGATCGATAAGGGCAGCCTCGGGGAGGAACGCCACGTCGCAAACGAGGCGGGCATCCTGAAAGACTTGGATGTGGCGATCCAGGCCGGCAGCACCACCAGAGCTGGACCAGCGTGTAGTGACGACACGCTCGAAGGCGTCAGTCACGTCATATCGGGTTCCGAAGCGATCCTCGAGGAACGCCTGGAAATCCATGAAGGTAGGAGTCCGACCCTCACGCAGGGAGTAAGCATAGAAATCCTCCCAGGCGTCGAAAGGAGCACCACGCAGGCGCGTGGAGAGGTTACCCACCCACGTGTCGGGTGTGGCGCTAATGAGCTGGAGCGTGCGGGTGGCAGATTGCAGCCACCTAGACACGCGTATGGCTGTACCGTCGTACAAGGGAATGTCCGACAAGCGGATGAGTGGTGCGCCACCGTTTTGGTGGCAAGGGGAACGGGAAGCAGGGGACTGCGCTACGACGGAATAAGTCGGCGCAGATCCTGGAGGAGGAGGCGCCGCTGACTGTACGCCCGGGCCGGATGGTGGAGCGGCGGGGGAAGTAGCGGTAGGCCGCACGGGAGCTGCGGTAGAAGAGGTCGCAGCAACCGAGGGGATGGGGAGGAGGTAGGATGGAGATTGGTAGGGTGCAGGGCGAGGGAAGCGAGCCTGCATGGAAGGAAGAATAGAGGAAGAGGGGGGTGCGCCGGAAGGCGTGGCCACCTGTGAGGGTGAGGGTGGCTGAAGGCGCAAGAGGGCGAGGTTGGCTTGGAGCTGGGCAATCTCGTCGTTGAGACCTCGAATGTAGGTCGTGCGAGGGGTAGGAGGGGGAAGAGTGGAGGAAGTGGATGCACAAGCGGCGCGGGGCATTCCAGAGGGGGAAGAGCCAGGTGGCGCTGCGGTCGTGTGAAGGGGGGGGAGGAGCGGGGCATCCGGAAACGCTGAGACCATGGTAACGGGTTGTGGTCCCGTGACCGTCGTAACCGAAATCTGGGCCGGTGCGCCCGTAGACTGAGGAAGGGCCTGACTCGTGGCGGCTGTCGAGTTAGGGGCGTGGACGGTCACCAAAATGGCCGGGTCGGGGGCGGCAGAGGAGGAAACTCCGCCGTAGCCACACTGTCGGAGAACTGGGGACTCGGACTGAGAGCCAGGAGAAGAGAGAGGATGAGGAGAGGAAGGACGACCAGCGTCCTGGAGTTGCTGCACGCCGGCGGCAACGGTCGCCACCTGCGCCTGTAAGGGCCCAAGGGTCGCGAGTTGCGCTTGGATGGGCGCGAGGGTCGCGAGTTGCGCCTGGATGGGCGCAAGGAGGGAGGTGAGGAGGGTGTGCAGATCCCCCTGGGGCTGATGGCCCTGGTCCGCCGGCACGGGTGTGGAGCCCGATGCCGTAGTCATCGCCGTGTCGGCGGCGTGTGACACACCATCGGCCATGGGGAGATGACGGACCGGACTGGGGGGGGCCAGAAGAGGTCCGCGTGAGCGGAGGGCGTAGGGGGAAGTCCGCGGTAGGAAGCGGCGAACGGCGCTAGCAAGGCTAGCACGGGCGCCGTCGAAGGGGGAAGGGTGGTTCGGGTCCAACCCTAAACCCTACAAAAACCCTAAGAAAACCCTAACCGAAGTTTAAGTGGTTAGGGTAGGGTACCGGTGACCTAATCAAGAAAGTAAAATAACAAGCATAGGGGGGAAGGCGGGAGGAAAATAAATAAAGAGCGAGATTTCGAGAGAAAATAAAAATAAATAAGGAAATAAATAAATAATAAAAATAATTAAAGAAATAAATAAAAGATGTGAAGGGAAACAATATTTATTTTTTTGAAATTTTCGGCAGCATTTCCCTACCCCCCACGGGGTGAAGAATGTGCCAAGGGAAAAGGAGAGGCCAAGGTGAGCACACTAGAGATGCCGCAAATAAATAATTTTTTTTTCTTCAGAAAAAAAATAAATAAATAATAAGTAAATAAGTGTGTGAGGAGGTGGGGAGAAATGGGTTATCTGATTTTTGAAAAATTTTGGCAGAAGTGTGCCGAAAAGACTAAGTAAGAGAAAATCAGAAAATTTCGGCAGTACTTCGTTACCCCCACGGGGTCAAAACGTGTGCCGAAAGCAAGAAAGGCTAACACCTAATTAGATTTAGCGTTGCCGCCAAGAATTTTCAGAATAAATAAAAATAAATAAAATAAATCAGAAAATAAGAAAAAAGGGTGGGGAAGAAGATGAGAAAACTAACAACTAATCAGATTTAGGGTTGCCGTAGAGAAAATCGAATTTTCAGAATAAATAGAAAAAATAAATTAAATAAATCAAAAAATGAGAAAAGAAGGTGGGAAAGAAGATATTTCGAATTTTTTGGAAAGAGAGAAAAGATAAATCAAAAGGAAGATCGAAAAAGAAAAACAGAAAAATTCGAAGTGGGGGGAAATGGGAATGAAAAAGTGAAGGAGAAGAGAAGGAAATAGGTGGGAGAGAGAAAAAGATGAAGTGGGAGGTGGGGGGATGAGGTGGTGGTAGTTGGGGGAGAGGAGGGTTGGGGAGAGGTGGAGAGAGATCAAGAAGGAAGGAGAAAAGAAGGGAAGAAAAGGAGAGATGAAGAAAATAGAGTAAAAGAATGGGTGGTGGGAGAAAGGTGGGGTGGGAAAGATAGAAGGAGGAGAGAAAAGATGCAGTAGAAGGTGGGGGAAAGAGAAGGGGTGAATAAGAGGAGAGAGGAGAGGTAGGGAGATTGGGTTAGTAGAGGGAGAGGGGAGAAGGGAGTGATACCTGGCCCTTGGTGTCTCCAAGGGCACAAGGTACACCAAGACCAGGAGGGTCTTGGTCTTTGCTGCAGCAGCCAGTTGGAGGAGAGAGGGGGCTGAGATCTTGATCAGCCCCCAGCAGCACTTCTGCAGATGTGTAGATGTAGGGTCTGCTGTG